TTTATTTTATATAAGAGTCCAATCAAGAAGCCAAAATTAGAATAACCAGATCCTGATAATCAGTCAACAGATCTCCAGACACGGTTCATCCTGTATTTTTATTTTATTTTAAAAATCTTTGTATTTCATAATATAAACTCAGAATATAAATAAAAATGAAAATACACAACAATAACATCAAACAAACCTTAAAGTAACGTTTAATTTAAACAAAAATTTAATTAGACATAAAAATATCTCATTTATGTCCAATAAATGGATGAATTACACATAAAAAATATTTTTAAAAAACAGTCATGAAAACCAATTTTAGTATCAAGTAAAATAAATTAAATTCTGTGAAATTTTAATGAATAATAAAAAATACTCTAAATAAATTAAAATTAATTAAAAAATTAAAATAAAAGTTAAATAATGACAAAGAGAATAAGAAAAATACGAGATATTAAATCTAGAAAAACTGGAGGTGACTTTAAAACTAAACATAAGGATAAATGAAAATTGTTAATGCTGTACTATTTATAATTGTTTTAATCTACCCACCTTAAATGTAAACAAATCAATAAAAATAAATAAATATTAAAGGATAAAACAATAACAGCTCCAATGAAACAAAGCATTAAAATAATGTGATAAAACCTCTAATCTATAAAAGAGTCAAACTTGAATGAAAGCACCAATAAACGGACGTGTGTCCTACCTGCTGCTGGACGCTGGTTTTCTCTTCAGCTGCTGATCGATCAGATATATACCCAACCTGAGGGGAGGAGAGATCAGAGGACAAGAGTAAAGAGGAGGTAAGGAGAGGAGGGAGGGTGGAGGGTGGAGGGTGGAGGAGGAGTACGTGAGGAGGTGAATGTTTTCTCCCTTTTTCTTCTGACAATGACAAAAACAGACAACATGGAGACACACACACATATTTACACACAGACAACTGACACACCTGCAGACCCCTGTACGTTTGTTTCCCTATGTTTCTGGGGACCTGTGTACATTTGAGCCTCTATGAGGACATCAGCTCCAACGTTTCGCCCTTAGAGGCTCGGGGTTAGTTTTAGGGTTTCAAGTTCGAATCGTGGTCAGAGTTAGACGTTTTTAATCATGATGGATAAAAGGTCTGGTACTGGATTATGTCAGCGAGGGTCCTCATAAAGACAGAAACACAGACCTGAGTGAGTGTAATTATGAGCATCTGCTGTCCTTTTATTGAAGCCCTGGAACAACCTGCAGGCTGCAGAGCTTATCGTGCACACACATCTCCATCCACACACACCCGTGTTTACACTGCTGCATGAAATGCTTCATAGAGCGCTCTCCACCCGTGAGCACAAACACGACTTATTATTCACCCAAACAGATGAAAGGATGCAGATATGAGCGTGTGCACGAGTCACATCGTCAAGGCTACCGCTGTTTCCACGTCACTGACGATCATTTTCCAAATCACCCATCGCTGGGCACAGACGTCCGGTCCCTCCTTTCAGGCAGCTGGGAGTTTTAGATGCAGGGCTGGAGATAATGAAAGGGCAGCTACGGGGCATGGGGGGGCATCAGGCATGCTGGGGGGGGGAGGCCGTAAACCTAAGAGTTCCCGT